TGCACTTGCCATGGGCGTATGCGTCCATCGTTGACCCCAAATACTTTCCCAAAGGTGCAATCCTTGAGCAAGTGGACGTGATGCAACTTGGCAAGAGTGTCAACTTCTGCATTGCTCCTTTCGACGGTGCTCCACTATGCAGGATTGGTGATGATCGCTCGGTATTTACTACAAGGGACCAAGCAAACCAGCTATCTCACGACCTATGCAGAGTCCTTCGACACAAGATCGGCAATTGCCGAGGAAGTGCTTTCAGGTGCGACGAGGGTGGATGGGTCGACATTGATGCTGTCATTGACGACCGGAACAACGACATATTCCCACCAACACCACGAGAGCGAAACGATACATGGGCATCATGGAGGTGATCAAGTGGCAGGAATCCGGAACAGAAATCGAGATTCCAGGTTCTGGCAGCAAGGTTTCCGAGCATCATGAACCCGAACGACACGAGGGCAGCCAGGGAGGAAATGACCAAGCTGGCGTGGATCGGGACGACATCGACAGGATGTTCAACAGATGCGATGGATGGTACAGACCTTGGTGCATCCGAGTCACAACCGGTCACAGTGATTTTGGATTCATGAGCTCATCCGCACTGGCGAATAGGTATTCCGCAAGAATGGGTGATACTCTCGGAGGAGCATTCCATGTGACGTATGTGGAAAACCTGCCAAGCATCGTACGCTGTGGGCTAGTCCCCGGCGGAATCGATGGCGGTAACAGGCTAGCACTGCACTTCGGGGCATTTGCTCCATGGGATGAGATGAACGTGGCGACGAAGACAACGCTACGGAACGTGAGGAGAGGGGATCCGATTGCGATCATCTATATTCCCAGTGCAACCCTCGCGCGGTATGGGGCTGGAGTCGCGGCTAATGGGACTTTCATGGTCTTTGACGTGATCCCGTTCTATGAGGTCAAGTCCATTTGGATTGGCAAAAGCAATGGAGGGAAGCGCCTGGAGTACGCTGACATCAAGAGGGCGTACTCGAAGTGTGTGGAGAACGAGATCTGCCCTGGCTTTGTCAACTCTTCCCAAGAGTCGGCTGCGATGTTCCTCCAGAACGTCGCAAAGATCAGCGAGAGGATGCCGGAGACTGAGACAGGTGCCGATAATCTGCACTACATCGTTGACATGGTTAATCGTGCTTGCGAACTCTATCGAAACAACAAGATGGAAGAGTTCAACGCACAGGTCAACGAGGTCCGGGACGAAGTCAGCAAAGTCGTCATCCTGAATGATGAGACATGGGAAGGACTGAGGTGCCGGATATGTCCATCATGTGCGACCGCGATCCCCACCTGCTTCTGCTTATGCCTGGAGTGCGAGGCACAACTGATCTCCATCGGAAGATACTACATTCACATCAAATCCGATGACGAGGAGGACAACCAAAACCCCAACGTCTCTGGAGATGCCAGGCGTGCACAGGAAGAAGCTAACCACGATGCGGCAGCACAGGAGGATGAGGACGAAGCGGAGGAAGTTCCGGGAGAAGATGACGACATGGACACGCAAGGATATACATCCGGCTATGCGTCAGAAGAAGAAGACGGCGGTTGGCATTACCGCGACACCGATCTGACGTCACGGGACATTATAAGTTCCCAACGGATGGCGATCTGCCTTGACGAGCCGCGTGAGGCTCAGTACATGGCAGGATTTATCGCACTCCAGCTGTCCAAGATGTGGGGGATGTTTGAAGGTGGTGAGGAGAGAACGATGAATGCCGGACTCGAAGGGAATCCGGGCTGCCCTTATCACAATGATTTCAAGAGGTACCCCAACATCACTGAGCATGATCAGGAAGGTATACTTTTGCCATCAACAATAACGAAGATTTCTCAATCGGAGAATGTTCGGACAAGAGCCTTCCGATCGGTTGAGGAGCGTGACGAATATATTCGTATGATGGTGAACAAATGCGAGGGACTTTACACATTCTACAAGCTGTGGATTGCAGCGAGAATCCTCGATGTCACCAAGGAAGAAATGAAGCTCCTGGTCAAGGACCGAGTGCACCCGGTGGGTGATATTATTTTCAGATGTTTTGCACTAGCTTTCAACTGTAAGTATATATCATTCGTGAGGGATGGCCTAAACCTTGGCAAGAATGGTTACACGGTCAACGTGAGCGCCATCATCTCGGCCATCGACCCGAACAAATGCGACACACCCCTGCTGGATTGGTGCCTTCGGAAAGGGCACTGGTTGCCAGAGGACTACAACAAGAAGTGTGTCCGGGCACGAGAAGCCCAGAAGAACTTGGACGAGGAGTTCCGCCGACGTACCCATAGGCTGTCCATTGGGGACAGGTATGCTTCGTGAAGATGATGATTGCGGTACGATGTGGGCCAGTCCCCATCTGTTACTTGCGTCACATCGACACTGTTTCGGTGGAACGACTTATGTCATGATTTATATTCATGTGTCCAAGATGATTGGATGTGTACATGGTTACATATTCCGATGACTATGACGCTCTGGATATTCATGGATGGAACTATTACCTTATAGATGATATCTTTTCATTATTTATGTATTGTCCATGGTATCTGGAATGGCTATGATTTGCATTGATTACTCACCGATGTTTCTTTGCCGGAGATATGCAGACCGATCACAAGCGGGCGCGCCTGGTGGACATTTGTGGCCAACCCATTTATGGATGACAGCTGCGCGATGCGCAAATGCGGCAGCTGGAATGTTCACTGGCGGTCAAGTGAAGTGGCCACAGTGTATACACCTGCATATGGATGTGTGCTTCGATTGGAGGATGAATGTTTCACTTTTCGTACAATCGAACCCGGCATGTTTCACAGCGAATGAACGGTGTAGTGATAGCAAGTAAAAGAATGCACGACACGATTTCGTAGTTGAAGCCGTGGCCAGTGGAACGTTTTGTGGTGTTTGGACCGCATGATGAACAATGCGACCCAAATGGGGGATGTTAAAACCTCTAGGCCCCGTGCCGAATTTGGGTACTGTTCTAGGTCTTGTTGGGTGTTGCTTCCCAGTTCCATTGATCGCCATTTGGCTCAAGACACAATTGAGGTTCAAGATCTGATGTGTGACTGCGCACATACGTAGGGCATTAAGAGCAAAACAACTGCTTGCGCTGCATTCGTCAGGACCACTGTCGTAACTATCATTCCCTTCCTTACAACGTTTACACGGGTTCGGCTATAACGGCATCGTCCGTATACACCTTTCTACGTGGTTGGTATTAAGCTTGAGGGTTCGGTGCACAGCGTCCCACGGGACGTCACCTTGCCGTCTCTTGACACACTTCGTGCCTGCGAAGTCGTCCGAGGCGAAGCCCAGCCTCAGGTCCTTGTTCATGTCGGGGCGCTTGTGCTGCTTAGCCTCGAAGAGCTGCAGCAGCTCCCCCAGGTCGGCCTCAGCAATCTCCGTCTTGGCCCGGCTGTCCGACAGGTCGGTGAAGCTGGTGTTGCAGACCACGTTGCCCGTGTATCCAACAGCGGCCCGAGCTGCGGCTGCTGGGCAACCCGAGCGCGCGGGTCTTCCCTGGAGCGGGACAGCGGGGCGCAGTCAACTCGAGCCGCTCGGCAAATCAGGACCTGTGAGTTACGAGCCCAACACTCTAACCACTGCGCCACTTTGACTGGCAAGAAGACTTGCGACAAACAAAATCTTTGCGAGTTTACCGGCGCAAGCCAACCTGCCATCTCAAGAAAAGTCCGTGACTGATTCGGTTTCATTTGCTACATGCTTGCATGCACTTGAGTCTGGTTCTTGTTTTGGCGGCTGCGGCGGCTGCGGCGGAGGCTGTGGTGCAGGCTGCCTCGGCCTTGGCGGGAGCATTTGCCCAACGTGTTGAGAGGTGCTCGTTTTCCATTGAAACACGCGCATGTTTGTGTCATTGAGCATGTCGTTAGCTCGGTTGTACTGCTTGCATGTTTGCGTTGTGTGTTCTCGGCAGCGACAAACGCTGGCTAACGCGTGTGTGTGCGGAGTCTCTGACTCACCCAGAGACCGCTTCATTACGCAGGGGGCGTGGCAGCCATCTTCCTAGCCGCGCCAACGAAGCTATGGAAGTTTGGCCGGAAGCGTTGAGGGACGCCTCAATGCGTACCTGCAAGTGATCTCCGAATGTCCTTTTGGTCTTTTTCTGAACCGCTGTTGCTTCTTGGTTCCCTGTTGAAGTAACTAGAGGGAAGCCAAGTGACTGTGAGCCGAAACTATTACTCGAAGACCCATACAGTACTTTGATGAGTACCCTCCCTCGGGAGTTTAAGTGTGCGTGTGTGTGTGTGCACGGCCGGCGCGCGCGCAGGGGTTGCGGGCGGCGAGTGCGTGGTCGGTGTGTGTGTGTGTTGTGTGTAAATCTGCGTTGCGTTGGCTGAAACAAAGACAACACGCCGCAAAGTCCACATGTTCGAAATCATCCGCCCCCCCCCCACACCCCACCCAGCCCCAAAAAGTGGCTTGGGAGCTCACGGTCGGTATTCACGCCGTGAGCATAAACAACAACAAGACTTTTCGCAAAACGCATCTCACGGATTCAGCATTTTGCGTGACGCGCCGTCAACAGTAAAAAGCGAATTGTTTGCGGACAATTGTTCATAATTTTGCGATGCGGATGACAATCCGTATAAGAAAAGAAAGTGCGGTTCATTGACTGTCAGACGCTGGGCAGCCCTTGTTGTGCACGAGGGACTTTCTCAGGATTCTTGCCAAGCCAGCAACATGACTGTGATCGGCCGTGTGCTGGCTGATTGGAACGCAAGCGTGTCGGCGTTGCTTTTTGGGGCGTGCAAAGGTACTTTTTACGATTCTTAAGTGCCATAACATACGTGATTATAGCAGGGGCCCGCTTTCATCAATGCTCCGCCGTTCCGGCTCGAATTGTAGTTGCTTTCGGGGGGGAGAATGGTGTGGGATACTTCAACAATAGCGGGCTTCGCATAGCGAAGCTTCGCCTTTCAGAACTTCAGGAAAACACAGTCGGATCCAGGTCCTTCAGCCCTTTTTCATGTCCGCTGCCGGGCCGGAGCTTGCTGCCGGGGCCCTGCGGGAATGACAGTGAATAGCACAACGGGCAATGGGGACCCCTTGTGGAGGTTGAAAGGGCCACCAGGAAGACATCCAAGTGATTGGATTGGATTGGTCTGGAGCTTACGGGGGTGGTTTCCTCAACCCGCCTCAAAGCCGATTGTGGGAAACGAGTTGCTGCTGAAAAGCAAAAGCAGGACAGTTCCGGAGGAAGAACTTATCTCAACCATTATGGAATGGCAACATGATGTCACACTGGTTCCAACGACCCGGACCTCCAAACTCCACAGCGTGCTGGACACTTCCGCCTCAGGAGCCCTCCGGTGAGCCAGCGCCGGTGCGAGCCTCGACAGGGTACCTGTTGCTGGATTTTGTGTGCGTCGTATTTTCTACAGAAATCAAAAAACTAGACAATGTGTGGCCCGGAAGCACAAAGCATGTGCGCGTACTACTTTTGTGCTTAAAAGTTGCGATTTTGCAGCCGGAGCTGCGGGAGCGTTCTGCGCGTACCACTCTTGTACTTCAAAATTGCGTTTTTCAAGCCGGAGCTGCTAGAATGTACTCCGCGTACTACTTTTGTACTTCCAAATTGCGATTTTCGAGCCGGAGCTGCGGGAACGTACTCCGCATACTACTTTTGTACCTCAAAATTGCGATTTTCGAGCCGGAGCTGCGGGAACGTACTCCGCGTACTACTTTTGCACTTAATATGCGATTTTGAAGCCAGAGCTGCGGGAAATTACTCCGCGTACTATTTTTGTACGTATGAGTTGCGATTTCCGAGCCGGACCTGCGGAAAGTACTCAGCATACTACTTTTGTACTACAAAGTTGCGATTTTCGAGCCGGAGCAGCGAGAACGTACTCAGCGTACTACTTTTGTACTTCAAAATTGCGATTTTCGCGCCGGAGCTGCGGGAACGCGCTCGGCGTATTGCTTCTGCACTTAAAAGTTGTGATTTTGCAGCCGGGCTGCAGGAACGCATTCCGCCTGTTACTTTTGTACTTAAAAGTTTCGATTTTGCAGTTAGAAAGCTGCCGCGGACCAGGCGGGGATCGAACCCGCGACCGCGAGACTCCGAGAGCAGGCGCGCAAACCACAAGACAACTTCCAAAAACCAGCTGGCAAGCAGCAAAATTCCCACGGCACTACAGCGAGAGCGGTACTACTTTTGTGCTTAAAAGTTGCGATTTTGAAGCCAGAGCTGCGGGAACGTACTCCGCGTACTACTTTTGCACGTATAAGTTGCGATTTCCGAGCCGGAGCTGCGGGAACGTACTCAGCATACTACTTTTGTACTTCAAAGTTGCGATTTTCGAGCCGGAGCTGCGGGAACGTACTCCGCGTACTACTTTTGTACTTCAAAACTGCAACTGTCGAGCCGGAGCTGCGGGAACGTACTCCGCGTACTACGTCTGCACTTAAAGGCGGTGATTTTGCAGCCGGGCGGCAGGAACGCATTCCGCCTACCACTTTTGTACTTAAAAGTTGCGATTTTGCACCTAGAAAGCTGCCGCGGACCAGGCGGGGATCGAGCCCGCGACCGCGGGACTCTGAGAGCAGGCGCGCAAACCACGAGACAACTTCCAAAGACCAGTTGCAAGCAGCAAAATTCCCACGGCACCACAGCGAGAGCGATTTGACACGCGCGTGCCCCGCAGAGGGTCGCGAGAACCAAACGAATTCGCACGGCGCCACAGCGAGAGCGATCCGACACGCACGATCACCGCACAGGCTTCACCGAGCTCAAGGCAGATTTGCACAGCACCACAGCGAGAGCGCCGAGCTCAAGACAAATTTGCACGACACCACAGTGAGAGCGCAATGTTGATGTCAGACACGCGCGATCCCTGTAAAGTGTCGCGCGACCAAGACAAAACTCGCACGGCGCCACAGCGGGAGCGCAATTTTGACGTCAAACGCGCACGATCCCCGCAGGCGGGAGCGTTCTGCGCGTACTACTTTTGTACTTCAAAATTGCGATTTTCGTTCCAAAGCTGCGGGAATGTGCTCCGCGTACTACTGTTGTACTTCCAAATTGCGATTTTCGAGCTGGAGCTGCAGGAAGGTACTCCGCGTACTACTTTTGTACGTCAAAACTGCGATTTTTGAGCCACTTAAAAGTTGCGATTTGCGCCGAGCTCAAGACAACCTCGCACGGCGCCACAGCGAGAGCGCCGAGCTCAAGACAAACTCGCACGGCGCCACAGCCGGAGCGCAATTTTGACGTCAAACACGCACGATCCGCGCAGAGGGTCGCGAGAACCAAGCAAATTCGCACGGCGCCGCAGCGAGAGCGATCAGACACGCACGATCCCCGCAGAGGGTTCACCGCGACCCAGACAGATTCGCACGGCGCCGCAGCGAGAGCGATCCGACACGCACGATGCCCGCAGAGGGTTCACCGCGACCGAGACAGATTCGCACGGCGCCACAGGGAGAGCGATCCGACACGCACGATCCCCGCAGAGGGTTCACCGCAACCAAGACAGATTTGCACGGCGCCGCAGCGAGAGCGATCCGACACGCGCGATCTCCGCAGAGGGTTCAAGGCAGATTTGCACGGCTCCGCAGCGAGAGCGATCCGACACGCGCGATCCCCACAGAGGGTTCACCGCGACCAAGACAGATTCGCACGGCGCCACAGCGAGAGCGCCGAGCTCAAGACGTCAAACACGCACGATCCCCGCAGAGGGTCGCGAGAACCAAGCAAATTCGCACGGCGCCGCAGCGAGAGCGATCGGACACGCACGATCCCCGCAGAGGGTTCACTGCGACCAAGACAGATTCGCATGGCGCCACAGCGAGAGCCGTCCGACACGCACGATGCCCGCAGAGGGTTCACCGCGACCAAGACAGATTTGCACGCCTCCACAGCGAGAGTGATCCGACACGCACGATCCCCGCAGAGGGTTCACCGCGACCAAGACAGATTCGCACGGCACCACAGTGAGAGCGATCCGACACGCACGATCCCCGCAGAGGGTTCACCGCGACCAAGACAGATTCGCGCGGACCACAGCGAGAGCGATCCGACGCTCACGATCCCTGAGAGGGGTGAGTTTCGATAGCTCCCGTCGGGCCTACCCGCCGCCAGAAAGAGAAGAAGAACTAAGAATCGAGAAGAGAAGGAAGAAAAGGAAAAGTTGGCTAGTGCTTTAGAATAGAAAAGTAACACCCGAAAAGTTAGGTTGTGTTTTAGGATGGCGAAGCAACGCTCGGAATGTTAGCTTGCGCTTTAGGATAGTCAAGTAACACTCGGAAAGTTTGCTGGTGTTGTTGGAAAGCGCAGTTAGCCCGTGAAGTGAGCTTATGCAATTGGCTGGTGACATGAGCTTGTGAATGGAGCTTGTGAATTGCGTTTAAACTTGGCTTGTGAAGTCACCTTGTGTAATTGGCTTGTGAAGTAAGCTTGTGCAGTTGACTTGTGAAGTGAGCTCGTGCAGTTGACTTGTGAAGTAAGCTTGTGTAATTGGCTGATGAAGTTTGCAGCCGCTTTAGAAGAAGAGCCCTGCGCCATGCTTCCGGGAAAAAAACACCAGAAAAACAAAAAAACAGCAAGACCAGATAATGATGCCTGTTGGAGCTTTTCCCCACTTAGATGGTTTGGAGATAAATGGGCAGGAACTCTTGGCGTGTGCTTTCAGGTGGTTGAAAAAAGACCAACAAGAAAAATCAAGACCATTTTTTTGGGTCCGATCTTACCTGTTTTGACACATTTTGGTCGGCTGGTCTGGGCATAGCATAGATGGCCACAGTACACATGGCACTTGTGGAAGCTCCTTAAAAGATACTATTTGGCCATGTAAAGAGCACCCTTCTTCACCACATCGAAAAGGACCCACCATGTTGGGAAAATGCTAAGTAATGTGAGAACTTCTGATATCGTGGGCTTGTGTCAATGACTCAAAAAGGGGTTAGCGATGTTAGCTGTGATAGTTTCGGTCGTTGTGGTAGGGCTGGTGGTGCGGTGGGCATTTGTGTTCTGAACCCTGGCAGCAGTGCACTCAAGCACTTTTTCTTTGGGCATCAGCCAGAACTGCTTCTAACGAAATTGCTGGGAGACTCTGGCTCGAAAAGCCGGTACCAAAATGGCACCCTGGCAAGTGGAAACATGGACCAAAATCCTGAATTTTGAGCCACTGCCCTTCAAAGCCACCAACACAAGGCATCCTCGAAGAAGTCATACCCACTTTCTTACCTTTGCGCAGGACCTCATCCTTGAGTTATCCAGCTTCTATTGCCCTCTCGTATGTGTGAAAACAGGGCCAACCCACAAAAACATGATTTTGGTTTTCCAGTTGCTTGCCCTTGAAGCTGACCGGAAAAGGGTACCCCTCAAATTTCAATCGCCTTACTAGAGCACAGTTATTAGCCGTTTGGCTGTGGGTCAAAACCAATGGTACCATTTTGGGGTAGGTGCACCACCCATTTTAGAGCCTATTCTAGTGGTTGGATTGGGAGGTTCACCGGGGGTACGATTTGGCTTTTGACCCATGACCATTTATCCACAGATGATCGAAGTGGGGAAAGCGCCAGGGGTCATCCTCCTTGCGCCCAAACCTCTGGCTGTCCTTGTGGATGGACAGAATCCATCACCAGTTGAGCCACAATCAAAACCCGGGTAGATGAAGGTTGGTAAGGGACAATCGCCTTGCCATAAATAGCTGCGGATATCCCCCGTCTTAATTCTTTGCATGGTTCTGGGTCGACCATTTAGTACTGGGTTTTGATTATGACTCAGTTGGTATGTGGTTTCCATCCTAGGGCGAATTCACCCGTACCAACTGGTGCAGGAGTTTGTCCGCACCGTATGCTAGATGCTCTGTTTGAATGCCAGTTAATTGTTGCACTCGCTTCGCACGTTTTGCCATTTGCTGGTGGTTTTCCCTTCAAACGTCGAAGGGGAACCCCTGTTTTGGTTGGATTGCCAAGCTGGTGAGTACCTTGATACCCTGGTTTTAAGTCAACCTTTGATACCCCGCTTGTGACCACCTATCATTGAACAGGTTGAACAGGTAGGGAGTGCCAAACCTGCGCGTGCAGTATCGAAGAGACAAGATTGGGTCATAACTTTTGACTGTTTCTGCGGTTCTCCAAGTGAGTAACCGGGGTCGTTTCCCCACCTACCATTTGGGGGGTGACTTTGATGGAACAAGAACCTTACCCAAACAAGCAACAACAAATAACAAAAACAACAGGAGAACTGTTTGAAGTCACTTGCAGTCCCCCCACCAACCTCCCCCTCTTCCCCAAACCTCCCCCCCCATCTCCATGGGCTGAAAACCCCACTCCCTTTCAAACTAGCCCTCCGAGGCCAGCGGCGTGGCCCTGCTGCTGCGCACCGCCGCGGAGGCTCGATGCGCTGTTTTTTGTTTGTTTGTTGTTTCCCCCCCTTTTTTGTTTTTAACGGCTCGATGCGCGTGGCGTTTTTGGATTTTTTGGTGGGGAACCCGTTCCTTTCCCACGGATACCCGAGAGCTGCGTGCAAGCAGGATTGCAGAAAGTAGATGGAGTGTTCCTCGATTCACACATGGCTTGGCGCTGAACATTCTGGTGAGCACATAAAAGGAGGGCAGCTCCCATCGTCTTGAATGCCATTTTCCGGCTTGCAGTTTGGACGTTGGTTTGTCTCAAAATCGGGCGAGCTCATACATGTTTGGGTTTTCTTTGGTTTCTGTTTCCCTTTAAACTGAAAAAGGGCACTCTCCAAGGAAGACCCAGTTGGGATTTTGGCTGAGCTTTCCATTGCGCAAAAGCTCTTGTCAACTGACTTTGTCGGCGAGTGTGTTACACCTAATCCTCCAGAGGATTTTCCGGCTTTGAGGCGTGCTTGCCGGCTTTGCGGGCGCAAATTGAAGCCCCGCACTCAGAAACCGGGAGAGGGAGCCTGTCGTATTGTTGATGTTTGATTTGCTGGATGTTTAATTTAAATCATGACTGCAAATGATAAAACTGATATGAACTTTTTGAAAGAGGAGCAGACATATACAATTAACCAAGTTGTATATTGGTCTCTAAGGCTCTGCAGCATGCACAGGAGAACTTTTTGCGGCAAGGATCGTAGATCATTTTTGGCGCTTCTATTTGACAGAAGCTTGTCTTGGCACCGGACACACCCCGAGGCTCGGGGGATCTTTGTGCTTCCGGGTTTCCAGCTTCCGTTCTTTTCTTGCCAGAAGATGTTCAAGGATCATCTTTTCAGAGGGGATCCGTTGGAATCAAGTAGGTCCTTGCCCGGCTCGAGGTCGCAGGACGGCCTAGTTCCAGCTTTTCTTGACGGGTTTTGGGATCCCCCCAAAGAAGAGGCCGCTCGTGGGATGCTTCATCTCGCTCCCTTGTGGGCTGGGCAGAAGAGGGCTTGGAGGTTTTTTTCCTTCATCTTTTGGCTCGTGTTGCTTTCGGTTTTCACCTTGACCTTTAGGTTGAAACCACGAGAAAGGGGTCTGGTGCACTATGGCCACGGCTCTCCCTTTTCCCGAGGGTTTTACTGGGCAAGTGCTCGGCAGGGAATGAGGGAAGGAACCGAAAGGGGATTCCCTTAAAGGGAACCATAGGGGATGGTTTATACATGGTTGTTGTTGGGAAGCCTTTTACATGTTTGCTCATTGTGGTTTACTCAACTGCTAACATTTGTGTTTTTGCTTCCAACGTCAACCAAGTATAGGGGTCTTTCTATTGCCCCCCGAGGAGCACCCGCCTTTTTTTTTCCCGCCGACGCCGCTTCACTCGACGCCGTCAAGGCGCAGGACCTTCTGCCGCAGCAGGCCCTCGGCGCCCTGTCCTTCTGCTGCGAGGTGCGATGGATGAGATTTTGGGATGCACCACGTGGCGTTTTGGGGTGCCCCCCGTGACGAATGCAGGAGGCAGCCTGTTTTGGGGGGTGGGGGGGGGAGAGTTTTTGTGTTTCTTGGTTTGGCCAGGGTTTGTTTAAAGAACCAGGGCTTTACAGGACTTTTTTCCCCAACAGCTGAAAGCTTTGGGGTCTCAGCCCAGACAGGCTCTGGGGTGGTCCGGGGCGGCCCTGAGGTAAGGTTCCACGAGGGTTCCACCAGGGTTCCACGAGGGTTCCACCAGGGTTCCACCAGGGTTCCACCAGGGTTCCACCAGGGTTCCACCAGGGTTCCACCAGGGTTCCACCAGGGTTCCACCAGGGTTCCACCAGGGTTCCACCAGGGTTCCACCGGGGTTCCACGAGGTTCTGCGAGGGCTGCGGGGTAGTGCGAGTACGAAAAAAAGCACTGCATGCTGTTGGGGATATCACCTGAGTTTATTTTAGAATGAAGTGGACCCCCCCCTTCGAGCATCAGGCTGGACTTTGACGATACCTCTTAGGGAGCTGTCAGACAAAAACTATAAGCAAGAACAGGTCTAGCTCGGATCGCTCTCTTTTTTTAGAATCAAGGTGCTCAGGCAGACCGAAAACACTGAAACAGGCGCATTTTGCAGCTTCGCTTCGTCTTCTTGGCCCGTTTTTTGCGCAACAGAGGAAGCAGGTTCAGGGCTACGGCAAGAATTGCAATTTTGGAGGAGTTTGGGCTGAAATCTTGGTGGGCTCTTGGGGAGGCGAGGACTTATGTAGTGCTTAGGGAGGGAGTGGGAGGAAGAGGCTGGAAATTGCGATGTTGGACCTCAGTTCTCCTAGACCCTGATGAGACCTCCCTGAAGCGATCCCTCTCAAACGCGGCCTCACGTTGGTTTAATTCTTTCCGATGACAATGGGTTATTTTGTCCGACAACAGAGTGAATCCCAGCAGTAAACAATAGCTCAATGCAGCTTAACCCATTTTATGCCTGATTGGGCAAGTTGGCTTCGAAGGCTCATTCGATACAACTCAATCCATTTCATATCTTTTTCGGACAATTCTCGTGAAGTGGTTTCCCGAAACATGTGTGGAAGTGGTTGCTGAGGCAAGTCGCATTGCGGATCATGAACCCTTGCTCGCATATTGCAAGGTATTTTTTTGGGGCATCTCCAAGTGGGCGTGTCTTGAAGTTTCATCATTGGGACCGTTGGATGGACATCCGCCCACCTCCAAGTTCGGAGCCTGTGGGTTTACCCCAAAAACTGCCTGCTCCTGGGCCTCCAAATTCGGACTGGTCTACACTGCCCGCCCCCACCCTCCGGCCAGCCCCAAAAACTGCCTGGCCCTCCCTCCAGACCTCGGGCCAGGTGCTGAGCCGAGTGCTGGTGAACTTGGAGGACCCGGCCGCCCTGGCCAAGTTCGGGAAGCTGAAGGCCAGTTTTGAGGTCGCCCGCGCCAATTGGTCTCGACCCGGTTTTCGCCAGGGCGATAGACCAGGGCGATAGACCGGGCTGAAGGGCGGAGACCTCCACGTTTCTTCGGACTTGCTCAACTGGGGCGAAGACATGGACTTGTTTTTGTCAGTTCGTCATCGCTTTTGCGATCAAGTTTGTTCTGTTTTTTTTTTTTTTTGCCATGGCGCAAGCAAGGCTTCACGTGTGTGAGCACACACTACGTGAACGCGAAATGCTACTGGAAGAAGCATGCATCCTAATTTTGTGTTTTGGGTGGGGGCTGCGGGGGTTGAGGATTGGTGGGGGGACCGCGACCAACAAGATGGACAGGATTTTCCCAACGGGCCAACCCTCACATTTCCACAAAGTGCAACTGTATGCATGGTTTTCAATTCGGAATGGAAGAGGATGCATAGCTTGGGACCAAGTCTAAAATCCCTGAAGCGGTCGGTGACGCATATTTATGAATGGCTTGTAAGGGGCCAGAAGCCCTGCCCCGAAAGGGCACATGAGCCACCATCAAAGCCCGGGTAGATGAAGGTTAGTAAGGGACAATCCCAGCCATAAATGGCTGCAGTCGCCATTGTATTTCCTTACATGCTTCTGGGTCAACCATTTTAATACCGGGTTTTGATTGTGACTCAAATGTTTACGAGTTCTCTACAAGATGCCCGCTGAGGCTTGACTTCAAATATGGCTGAGGCACCTAAATGTCGCTTGAGCTCGCCCCTCGCCCCTCCCCGAGTCAAGAACGCTTTTGTCCGCCTAGAAGGGTACCTTGCCAGAATGAAAAGCCGTCCAAGGCTTTGCGAGGCTCAGTTCATCGAAGCCTTTTAGGTGCCCAGGAGATGTTCTCCACTGTATGGCTTTGGGCACCCTGTTTGTGGTTTGGCTGCCGGGCGATGCGTTTGGAGCTGCCGGGCGATGTGACATGATGTTCTCAGCCTCTTTTGCCATCTTTTGCATGTCAAGGGTGAAACACACATCTGGGTGCGGAATCGCCTTTTTTCCTAATTTTTCCTGAAGGAGACCACAAGGGGATGGGTAAAGTGTTTTCGTTGATACTCCTATTTGACACTCAGATCAAGATGACATCCCAAGTCATCGGCAAACGAAGAGCAGCCCCAGCTGTCAGCAGCCCCTTTAGGTCATGGAGAACAAAGAGCATGGCTTTGCCGGCGCGACAAAGTATTTCCTCCTAAGCCTCTGGTCCTGGTATGTTTGACCACTTGCAACACGATATATGGGTGTGTCTACACAACACGTATGTGCATGCATATGGCCATGGGTCAAAACCCCGTACCCCCAGTGAACATCCCAACCCCCACTAAAATAGGTTCTAAAATGGGTGGTGCACCTGTCCCAAAATGGTACCATTGGTTTTGAACCATGGCCATGTTAGTGCAGATGCACATGTACGGCTACGTCGACACAGTGCGGAGGTTGCAGCGCTGCGCAAGCGCCTGACGCGCAGGAGCGAAGGGTGGGATGGGATGGGATGGGGGAAAAGGACGGAGAGGGGGCGAGGCCAAGTTCCGGGCTTTTCCCCTCGGAATGATTCAGACACGTCAAAGAGAATGATCTAGTTCCCACGCTCCATTGCCCCCGGCAACGCTTTGAAAGCCCCTCGACGAGAAGATGACATGAGTTTCTGGCGAGCCTCGATCGACCTCCAAGTGGCAACAGCATGGATTTTCTGGAGCAACATTTCCCACGTCCCGCGACAAAAAAGCCCACGCATTTTGGCCGATGGGAGATTCTGTGGGCATTCCCATCAAGTCCCATGAGCTTGTGAAAAAGCGCCATGCACTGCGTGGAAAAAAACCCAAAGGGTTCGTCCCACAAAAGGAGACTCCACCGAGACTGGTATTAAAAGAGAGTGGGACGCTGCGCTTTTGCACATTTCGAGCTGTCTGAAGTGTTGGAATCTGGCTACCCCTCTCATAGACTGACAGATTCAAAAAAAAGAGAGCGGGAAGCTTAAAATGTGTGCTTTTTGCACATTTTGAACGGACGCTCGAGTTGAACCATGTTTCAATAATTTGCGTTTACATGTTTACTGATTTGTGTAAAATAAATTCGATTGGGCGCCCGGCGTAATTTCGAACTAAAGATACAATAAATTATATTGCAAATAAATTCTAGAATTAAATAGACACAGTTATTGGATACTTTCCTTATTAGATTCTGTTCAATCTCTAGTTGAGTTGTTAAGTTCTATTGGGTCTAAACTCTCAATTTAAGATATAATTTCCGGTAGGACTCTGATCCAGTGTTTCCTTATTGAGTTTCATTTAAATCGTATTGAAACTCATTTGAATTTATGAGAGTGGCCGCTGGTGGAGATTTGAATTGAATATACAAACTACAAGGCACATCATGGTCGTGCTGGGGCTAGCAAAAAGCGATTTTGGGACTAGGGATTCTTTCCTTATCAACTCTACTTAATCTGCATCAAGTTCGACTTACGTCTATTCTTAGGAGAGTATTTTGTGGTGGGAACCTTTTGACAACGTGGGACACCTTTTGAAATCCATTCTTAGAGGATTAGATTTGGTGGGAAACTTTGTGAAAACGGTTCGTACAGGAATGTCATTGGCGGAAAAGCTTTTGACAACAGCTCTTAGAGGAACGTTTCTCACAGGACTCTTATTGGTGGAAAAGCTTTCGAGAACTACTCTGCCTCCCCCCCCGAAAATCATCCTCCAAGAATGGGTTCTAGTAGGTTACTCCCATACTCCAACACAAATCCAAGATAATCCAAGATAATCTGCCAAGGGTTCCTCCAAGGGTTCCCTTCTCTAACTTAACCCGACGCAGGGGCTGCGCTTTTGCGCGTCAGGCCAGAGCTTGCGGAGAAGGTGCTTCAGGCCGCGGGCTTCCGTGAGGCGCGCGACCGTACGTTCTCGAAGTTCATAGCCAAATTTGGACCTCCCAAAAGGTTGGAACCGTTTTTGAGTCAGGTGAAACTGAGCTAAGTTCGAGCTCCAAAGGTCGAGTCGGCAGCCTGTGCTGAGCTTGGAGAAACGCGTGTGCATTTTATGAGTCGGGACCCCCTCAAAGGTGGTTGGACATGAATGCCCACCAAGTTTTCATGTCCAACATATCTCGTGATAAATCTTTACACACACACCCAGGGGGTGTGGTTTTCGGAGGGTGTCCCCTCTCTCCTCCAGTCATGAGGAAATGAAGTGGGGACATAGGCTGCTCGCGTGCACGCGAGCTATGGAAAACCCGCCGAAACCCGTATCTCAGTGGAGGCAGCATCCAAGGTTCCTCTTATGGAGAGCTGGGAATTCCTCATATCAAGCAAGGGCTAAAATATTTAGAATGTGGTTGCGGGGCTGTAAGACCAACTTGAGCCATGCTCATAAGAGACAAATCAATGTCAGCATTTAGCCCCTTGCTTCCCGGAAGTGGACAGGTTCCGGAGGAAAGTCGTCGTCGCACATCTGGCCAGTTGAGGCTCCCCTTTGGATTCAGTTCTCGTAGATCCCTTTTCCAGGCCTTGACTCACATGTGCTCCAAAAACCTAAGGGGTCTTTTTGGCAGAGAAAGGGCTGAAGAGGGTGATAGTATCGTACCAGAGAGGGCAACCCTGAGCAACACGCTCAGACGCAGTGCATGGAGGATCATTTCTAACCGTCAATTCCGATGAAAGTACCTTCTTTCCCTGTTTGGAAACAGAGTTTCAGGTGTCGTCAAATCAAAAAAGGAGCACCAGACCTCACAATTCACCGAATGAGTTGCCTGATTTTATCGCATGCTGTTTGGCTTGGACCATTTTTTCAGTCCACAGAGTCTCTTGGTTTGTCCCTGGGCTGCAGATGGGTCCCTGAAGTTGCAGGCACCAGGATTTCTGAACTCCAGCAAGTCCCTGAAGTCATTTTTTGCCCCAAAATTGCAGTTCCCTTGGGACCTAGTAAATTGAACAACCCTGCGTTGGTCTTTGTCACCCTCAGTGGACATCACTATTTTCTATCAAGTGGTGTGGTCGCTCCAAGGAAGAATCCACTGCCTTGATTTGTCCCTCGCTGTTCCCTTGTTGGATGGCAATTTCATTGGAATCCAGGAAGTTGGACTTCAAGTTCCAACTGTGGGACAAATCCAGCCAATGGGTGCGGATATCCGGCTTTTTGATGCTTTACACGGTTCTTGGTAGATCATTACCCATAGGTTTTGATTGTGACTCAACTGCAAGGTTGGTCTCTGTAAATCCAGTTGCCCAGTGGTGTTTGTTTTTCTCCTTTTTTGGGAAGCGTTCCCTTTAGACGCAACCAACCAAAAGAGGCCTGATTTTTGGCTTCGGCCGGGATTTGGGCTCTACTCACTCGGAGGGGGTGGGGTGGGGTCTTGTGTCTTTTGCTCTTTTTAGCGGAGCCCACCCCAAAAAAGGGGATGGTTCCCCTTTGTTTCCCAACCCAACCCTTCCCCCCAAAAAAGGAATTGCTCTCGCTTCTTGTTTCCAGTGGGGCACTCTGGGCGTCTCTTCCCAGGCGGGGGATCACCTGGAGTGGGGCCCCGAAAGCCCCGAGGCTGTCAGCTGGGGCGGGGTGGGGTGGATGGAGCCCCGGGCTTGGTGTTTTACCCTGGTTTGGGATGGTTTAGCGGTGGGGTGTGGGGCGGGGTGGGGTGGGCTGGGTTGTACCTAAATAGTTCGCAATTCGACCTAGGGCTTGAGAAAGGGGGGGATTAGTGAGATGCTTTGCGATCAACCCTAGCTATAAGGATTGCACAAGGGGTGGGGGTCAGTGGGGTTAACTGGGGTTAACTGCGGTTGGCCAAGTTGCAGGCCATCGAAAGCTTCACCGATGAGGCCTTACAACAGCCGACATGCTTTTGTTTGTTTGTATGTCTGTGTGTGTGTGTGTGTGTCCAAGAATTGTTTTGACCTCCAAACAACACCTTCTGTTTTCCTTCTAAAGACCTTCCTTTTTGTCCAGGGCGAGAAGGTTTCTATGGCGGAATGGGAAGTCCTGTTGATAAGCTTGACTTGGGAATCAAGAACATTGCAAGCCTCTTGGGGAAGACAAGTCACAGAGATCAGGCAAGAACATATTTAGGGAGATGGTGGTGGTGATGAGTGTGATGGTGATGACGATGGCGATGCCCACCTTAGGTCTCTTCTGTGACAACCTGAAGGCCCGCACAAGTCCTCTGTGGCTTCCTGGGGGACCGATTTGCCAGGATCTTTCTTAGACTGTTTGACGCGCGCCAAACCCAGCACCGGCCTTTGTGCCCTTTGTTTGCTTGGTTTGCTACCTCGGAACCAAAGGGAGAGAGTCCATGTAGATTTCTATTTGCCGGCCACGCCGCTGCCTTTTGCAGGGCCCTCGAGGGCAACACTTTGTAGTTGGTTAGTGACGTGCGCTTTTCAGCCATTCACGTAGCGCTCATAGGCAAAGCGAGAGGAAGCCAAGCGAGAGGAAGCCAAGCGAGCCAAGCGCTCGCGGAGCACACAGCCCCGAAGCTTTGGAGCATTTCCAAAACGCCCGTTGGCCAAAAGGCGCCCTGTCGGAATACGGCACCCGTCAATGTCATGCAGAGCATGTGTCATGGCGGCTGTACAGTTGAAGCTAAGTGCCCTGGGAGCAAGTGTCGAGTTTCGTGAATTCGGGTGGTGAAAGCTGGATTTGAGCGCACACCCTGTGGATAGCCTCTACTCTGTCAATCTCGGGAAGACGAGGAATGTCCGAGCTTTCCATCCAACGAACCAATTCGCTAGCTATCGCACGCTCTACGCGGTGTCCTCTTTTGAAGGGTTCTGGGAAATCAAATCGGTTCGAACCCGATGGAATACATTGCTTTGTTCTCCCGCCCCCCCCCTGCCAACGCTTAGATCGGTCAATGTTGTTCCCATGAGCCAACAACGTGTGGTGTGCGCGGGGGGGGGGGGTGCTATCCTCGGGCTGTGAACCTTTTGCTTCCCTTGCAGATGAAAAAGGGCCATGTCTGCAAGAACTCCCGACGGTTTTTATGGTTTGGTCCTGAGCAAAGCCCTCCCGCACTGGGTCCTGAGCAAAGCCCTCCCGCACTGGGCACATTTCTCAAATCTTCCAAAAGGGGTTTCTGTGCCTCCCGGTATGTTGGCAGGGTCGGACATCCACCGTCCGTGAGGTTTGTTCTGTCAGCTTTCTGGGCCGGATGGCTGCTTCTACCGCTTTGCTTCAAAGGCTTGGCCACAAGTCGACACCCCAAAAGGAGGACAACTAACTCTTCAAGGGTTTGTCTCCGAATCAAACAGCAACCCACATCTGCGCGTTTTCCCTTTGGGTTTTCCCTTGTGAACAGCCCCAACAGAGGCATCCCCCAACGCATTGTTATAGTACCCCTGCCACCGTTTTTTGCTTTCTCCTCATGTGGCTTTCCAATCATATCTTGCAGGATTCGGTCACTGCCAGCAACCACTTTCGTGTCCCGGGTCCTGAAACCTAAGCAGCGCATTTGGAGGGACACCCTAAACCCTGAACCCAGTTGCCCGGCGGTGTGTTCCCTTTTCTCCTTTTTTTGGAAGGGTTCCCCTTTGTCAACCAACCACAAAAAGTCACTCCAACTTTAGAGCCTCCGGCTCAGTCCGCCGACATTGTCCTCTCCCTTTTCTCCTTCTTCCTCTCTCCCTTGTCTCCCTTGTGTGTTCTTTCGTCCTCTCTCCCTCCCTCTGCTCCCCATCCTCCCCATCCCCCCAAGCCTCTCTCTCCTCAATCTCCCTCTCTCTGTCTCTCTCTCTATCTCTCTCTGTCTCTCTCTATCTCTCTCTATCTTTCTCTCTCTCTCTCTCTGTTTCTCTGTCTCTTTCTGTCTGCCTGTCTCCTTCCGGTCCACGCCCCTCTACAGAAAAAGGGCACCCTAATTCTAACCTCTCTACTGGAGGACCTAGTCTCTCTCTCTCTCTCTCTCTCTCTCTCTCTCTCTCTCTCGGTCTCGCTCTTTCTCTCTGTTTCTCTCTCTCTCTTTCTCTCTCTCTCTCTCTCTCTGTCTCTTTCTCTGTCTCTTTCTCTGACTCTGGCTCTGTCTCTGTCTCTCTCTCTCTCTCTCTCTTTGTCGCTCTCTGTGTCTCTCTCTCCCTCTCTCTCTCTCTCTGTCTCCCTCTCTCTCTCTCTCTCCCGCTCTCTCCCTGTCTCTCTCTCTCTCTCTCTCTCTCTCTCTGCATTGCAGCGTCACGTCCCCCCTGGGTTGCCTCGATGTCCGGGCACTGCCCCTTCATGACCCTGAACTGTCATCTCACTACTGGCTTTCTGCTTGATTTCTCCTTCATGTCCTTATCACGTTTCCCATGATGTCCTGGTCATGTCCCTTCCATTCCTTTCAACTCCCCCTTCATGTGCCAGTCAGTTTCTCGGTATGTCCGCTTCATTATCCATGTATGTATGTCTGTCTGTCTGTCTGTCTGTCTGTCTGTCTGTCTGTCTGTTGTCTGTCTGTCTGTATGTATGTATATATGTATGTATGTGTGTGTATGTATGTATGTATGTATGTATGTATGTATGCATGCATGTAATGTAT